CCAGTCTTCAGTGTCATGTGATCCTTCAGAAATCATTCTAATATGATAATATCTGGTTCTCAAGAAACATTTATTATGGGTGCCAATGTTGAAAACTGATTTTTGTGGAAACCGTGATGCATTTCAGAATTCACTGATAAACTCAAATGAACAGCATTTATATGAAAAATACATTTTTGTCACAATTTAGTGTGAATAAAAGTATTAATTTCTTGTATATTACTGACCCCAAACATTGGAACGGTAGTGTAGAAAAATGTTATGTGATTAAATGCAAATGCCAGCTTAATATTTCTGCTTTTGCAGAAATGCCTTGTTTCATAGACCTCCATTGTAATTGCATTACTACAAAAAATTTGCGTTTGTTTTTACTGAGGGACAAGTTGAAGAAAGTGACAAACGTGCTATTATGCTACTACCAGCAACGTCTCCTGTTTATTTTTTACTTTTCTTTCTTTTTCAACTGTGACAAATGTTCTTATCAAGGGTGAAAATGGCACATTTTCCACGCTTTTCTTAATGAGTCAAGCCAAAAAGGAAGATTTGTGGCGCACAGCCTCAGTATTCAGGGATGTCATATGAATGTATAGAGAAAACAGGCTTAACAGGTCAGCGTGATGATCCTTGAAAATAACATAAGCTTTTTTGCAGCGCGGTACTGCATTCATTCCCCTTCATTCACAACATGCTTCACACACTCGCATACAGTAGGTTTTTACACACCTTAACTAAGGTGGCATGCCTATTCTTCACACTGAAAGTGGAACACAGGTGGGTCCTATGTTTATCCATTGTCAAACGGTGAAAGAATAACCTACACCGGCGGACTTAAACTCTTTCGCCCACATGCGACAGCGTTATGGCTTACCGCTATTAGTGCTTAGACGAACGGTGTCATGTGGAGTGTGAAATGTCCGTTCCTGTGGGTTTTATATAGCTAATCGATGTGGAGCTCCTGTATTGGAGGTTCCCTTGGGCTCTTTTATTGCCACCTAGTGCAACCAAATGAATCCATAGAGAGCACAAGTGAGTATATTTCATCTCTGACCTGAATGAGCTTCTCCATCAACCTGAATAAAAGGTGCTTATGTCAGCGTGCTCTAGTTTTTAATGTTGCATAAGCAGAGAACATGGGAAACTTATGTTCGATAATAGCAGGATTTAAATGCAGCCCATTCTATTTGTGTTTCTTTAACATAGAGAAACGGAATAATCGCTAATTTCATGCTGCATTTTTCTGTGTTTTTTTTTTCTAGGTGGCGAAAAAAGTCAACATTGCAGCTGAACCCATCATCACAGGTCTCAAACGGGTAGTCCATCACGGTAAATGTTGCCATGTAAACAGCTTTCAGAGTGCACAATTATAATAAAATGAAATAAAAATAAATAAATGTAATAAATAATAAAAACCGAGCACCTTTGCACAAAATATTATTATTATTTTATTTTATTTTAATCTAGAACCATTTTTTTGCTGTATATACAGTTCTTATGTTGGCGCTTTAGAGATTAAAAAGTCAAAGTGTTGCAATATAGCTTCTTCAGAACAACATATTGGTTCTAATAGAGGAAAAGTGAAGCTTTTCTAGGTTCTAAAAGAACCATGCATTTCAAAAAGTTATTTTTTGGAATTAATAACATTGAGTTCATATAATGAGAAACTAAATATGAAGTTTGAATTGTATTTTTTTT